GGGTGGGGGCAGTACCCAACCTAAACCTTTATGAAGGCCGAGTCCTCCGACAAACCCAGCTAAATCCTGCACAGCCGAAACCCCAAGCCTCAGAATCAAACCCTAAGACTCTGGGAGAATAAACCCTAAACCCTAAGCCCTCAACCCCTAAACCGCTAAACCCTAAACCTTACTCTCATGATTACTCGACGCCACAAAACCCAAGCTCCACAAGCCTCTGAAGCCTGGAATCCTGGAAGCCACAAGCCCAAGACTCCGCAAACCCTGCCCGCGGCCCCAAAAGCTACTTTTTTGTAGGGTCCCTATAAATCCCATATGAGGGTTTATAATAAGAACCTACAAAAAAGTGGGTTTTGGGTTATTAAGGTAAACCCCAAACATCTCCGAGGCTGGTGCGGTGACGAATTTTGTCATGGATGCGGCTCACGCGGCTGCCGGAGCTCCGAAGGGCTCAGAGTTGAGGGCTCTTAGAGTTTAGGGACGTTTAGGGTTTTTGGGGTTTAGGGTGTAGGGGTTTAGCAGGATTTGGGACAAGGCTTCTGAAGGGGCTCTTGGGGTGAGTCCGGGGGCTTGAGAGAGGTTGGAAGGATTTCGGGCACATAGGACTCATAGGACCATGGACACGTAGTTATAAGAGATTAGTGTTGATATGTAACCAGAATATACCAGAGCATATAATCCTAACTTGGGACCTTGTGGTTGAAGGTTCCGAAAGGAAAGGCTCAGGGTGATGCAGACCGCACCATGCGTGGCACTGAGCCCCGCGACTGAGAACTTCAGGTTAAGTTAAGGCCCTTTGGGAAGAGTTCTGGGAAGCTTCGGAGTTTTGAGTTGCGAATGGAATCGGAGAAGTTGGCCATACGGTTGATGGACAAAATCCTGCATGACCTGAAGGACCCTAAACTGTGGGAATTATGGTATATTCCTTATAGTGGGTAATGCAGGATTTTGTCCATCAACCATATGTTGTGCGGTCACAGTCAACTCCCTGGCTCCCCAAGCCGCAAGCTCCTCGTACACGAAATGATGCCGAGACCCTACTCCCAGAGGCTCCTCAGCAACTTGCGAAGTGTGTTAGCTACAGTTACCATCTTGTCCAGTTGCATGTTATCAACAGTATATAATAAGCGTATGTATGTAATGTATGTATGTGTGTACGTATGTATGTATGTATGTACATACGTATGTATGTGTGAATGTATGAATGTATGTAGGTATGTAGGTACATACGCATGTATGAATGTAGGTATGTATGCATACCCCACACTCCCAAACCCAAACCCAAACCCGAAAGCCCCTGAAAGCCCCCTCTTTCAGGAGCCATCACGGGCCTCATCCCGAATCTCAATTTGGATTTCACCACGCCCTCCATGCAACTCATGGGCCCCACGAAGCTGCCCCAGGGCGTTAAACAAAAGTGGGGGATATGGGTAGGGGTTTAGGGCTTAAAGGGTTTAGGGTTTAGGGGTTTTAGTTCATATATACAGGCTCAGTTTAGGGTTTAGGGTTTAGGGCTTAGGGGTTTTAGTTCATATACCGGCTCAGTTTAGGGTTTGGGGTTTAGGGGTTTAGGGGTTTAGGGTTTAGGGTTTAGGGGTTTAGGGGTTTAGGGGTTTAGGGGTTTAGGGTTTAGGGTTGTATAAGGTTTACTGCAATTTTCCGGGCCTTTCGTTCATATACAGGCCTTGAGGGTTCCTTTTAAGGGTTGTATAAGGTTTACTGCAATGTTACAGGCCTTTCGTTCATATACAGGCCGTTTAAGAACTTGAATAGGGGCTCCTTTAAGGGTTCCTTCAAGGTTTGCGGTAGTTTTTATAAGGTTAGTATAAGCCTTTCGTTCAAAGGGGTAGTTCTCTAAGTTAGGGCCACTTCTACTGTCCATTTCCTGAACCCTACACCCTAAACCCTAAACCCTAAACCCTAAACCGGTAGCGTGCTATTATCTTGTGGATCCTAACCTGGCGCTGGTAGAGAACTACCCCTATTAGGGTTTAGGGTTTAGGGTTTAGGGTTTAGGGTCTATGCAGCCCTCAAGAATTACAATAGGCCTCGCTTGAGGGTTCCTTCAAGGGCTACTGTAACTTTCATATTTTACAGTGTCCTTAGCATAGGGGCCTTAAAGTTAGAACAGGGTTTTGGGGGACGGTATACGTTAATCATCATAGTGCAGTAGTATAGGTATTATTCAGTGAATATAGAGGCCTGGATAGATAAAATAGGTTTCCTTCAAGTTCCTTTAGAAGGATTCTTCAGGGGCTCTGTAAGGGGTTTCTATAGTTATCAGAGTTTTGATTAAACCCTAAACCCTAAACCCTAAATGTTTAACATCAGGGCCTTGACACCTCGAAGAAGGCTTTTGGATACACATCTAGAAAAACTATATGCGCATATATACCGTGTATAACTATAAAAAGCCTTCTAAAGATGATGGATCGGATCCCAGTTAGCTGTTTCGCCTCAATTTTGTCTGGCTTGAGGTCTACAGGGCTGAGGGTGGTAGCTTTCGGATCGATATATTTTGGTTGGGGTGTCTAGCATTATTTGGAGGTTCCAGGGGAGTTATAGGTGGAGTTCTAAGCCTCCTAATTTGGGTTATAACTACAGTTACCCTACTTATAACCCCACCTATAACTCCATGAACCTCCAAGTACAGCCGTTTGGGGCGGCTTGTTTTTTAATTTGGGCGTTTGGGGTTTTCTTGTCTTTCATCTATCTAAGGTAGAACCCATGGGCCCCTAGTATGGGCCCTTAACCCTGGGACCCTGATCTGCCTACTATATACCCTATTATATACCCTTAAGGGGCCCTAGAATCCCCTAAGGGCCCATGTTAGGGGCCCATGGCTTCAACCTAAAATGGGGGTTTCCGAAAATAGGGGACCCTAATAAAGCACCCCAAAAAAGTAGGACCCTTATTATAAGGACCCCAAAATAAGGTACCCTAATTTTGGAAACTCCCAAATAGGAGCCGGTGGAGGGGGGGGGGGGTTCTGTATTCTTCGGCTCATGGCTGCTCAAGGGTGTTGGTACTTCCGGTTTAGGGTTTAGGGTTTAGGGTTTAGAGTTTAGGGTTTAGGGTTTAGGGTTTAGGTGTTTAGGGGTTCAGTTTTGCTGGCTTTGGGATTGTTGGATATCGGCATGCTCACGGTTACGACTACTATCGACTACTACTGCTACCGCTGCTGCTGCTGCTGCTGCTGCTACTACTGCTACGACGACTGTGACTGCGACTGCGATCCGGGTTTGTATACCCGATTTAACACTTGAACCCTGTTGCTACTGATGCTTGCTGCCCGATCGAGGCATTAGTCTATGAGGACGATAAAAACGCATCTTGATGACCATGCTGTGATGGTGTTGATCGCAGTTCTTAGAAAATTTCATTCTCATCTCGTAGTTATCCGTATCATAAGCAATTTCACTGTTCGGAGGAGTGTAAACGGTGACATGTCTATGATTGATGCCAGACTTCTTCTCCGTCTGGATGGTGAATGCCGAGGTGCTGTAGCGAGGAGGTAGCTCCGTCTGCTTGGCACCATGGCAGCGCGCGCCCTCCAGAGGCTCTGTGGCGACACGATGGAACCTCACCAGGAGACGTGATGCGGTTGGTGTTTAGGGTTTAGGGTTTAGGGGTTTAGGGTTTAGGGATTACCAATAGTCAGGAACATATCATAATTCCCATAGTTTAAAGTCCTTAAGGTAATGCAGGATTTATATCATCAACAGTGTCTCTGTTTTGAAGATGGCGATGGATGCCCGGTGCGTCAAGGCAGAACCCTGCTCGGTATTTCTACTGAATATAATACATGGATAACTAGTCATAGGAGCACCCGGATCAATTCACTCTGCTTTTGCACAACCCCGCAGCCTACTCTCCGAGTACCTAACCTAAAACTTAAACCAGAAGCCCCGAAACCTCGAAACCTACAGCCACGCAGGCACTTCTTTGTAGAATCCTCTTAGAAGCAGCCCCTAAACCCTAAACCCTTACAGAACACTAAACTTTAATCCCTAAGCCCTGAAAATAATCCTTATGTGCACCCTCACCTTGTAGGAGCCGAGGGTAGATCATAATAACACCAGTCACTATAATGATAACAGCAATACAAGCAATAAGAACAATACTAGCAGTAATATTAATCACAAAAAATACTCATAATAGTAGTCTTAGTAATACTATTAATAGTAACAATAATGATATAAAGAATAGTACTAATAATAAACAGCATCAACGCTTGCAGGTTCATGGGTAGTTATAAGTGAGGTACTTATAGCCCACATTAGTGTACTTATAACTCCACTCATAACTACCCATGAGCCTCCAAGTAACCCTAAACCCTAAACCCTAAACACTAAAGCCTAAACCCTAAACCCTACCCCATGAGCCTCCAAGTAGGGGACCGGAATTGTTAGTAGTACCCCCTTCAGGTCCTTATGTACGTTTTTTGCCATAAACGAACCTAGAACCTATCCTACCATATCAAGGCCTAACCCCTAAACCCTAGCCCCTAAACTCCTGAACCCCTAAACCCTTAACCTTAAACCCTAAAACCTAATCCCTAATCCCTAAACCCCTAAACCCAAAACCCTAAACCCCGAAACCCTAATTAGGGAGGTTCCCCCCATTTTTGAAGCCTAATTCTAACACCCCCAAAGGCCGGTAAAAAAAAAAAAAAACCAAACCCTAAACCCCTAAGCCCAAAACTCTCAAGCCTCGAAAGCCCCGAGCCAACCCTAAACCCTAAACCCTAAA